CTGAGATGTTATTGGTCAGTTTTAGCTTGTGGAAGGACACCACTTTCTGCATCCATTGTTCCCCCGTGCTGGGGGAGTCGGGGTGGATGTACATTCGTTTGGGCATTTCTGGGTCGGCTTTTCCGGCCACCATCCAGCGACTGTTGTGAAACTTGTATCTACAGTCATCAACGGCAACAATGTCCATTAGAAGAATATATTTGGCTCTTTTATCGAGACCAGAAACGCGCACTTTGAACGGAGGAAACATACGCCTGAAAAAGAAGAAATTCAAAAATAAATATCACCATGTTATTGTGGAAGAATTTCAGTAAATACTATATAAACAAAAAAATATTATACCATTCTTCTATATATTTATTCAATACAGGCCAATAATTGTTATAGAAAAGTGTTTTAAAAAATATATTTTTGCTTTATTTCTGAAATCTTACAGAATATTTGCGGGTAAAAATTCTTTGACAAGGAAAATGTGTCGTGTAAATAGACCCGATACTGTCGCGTTCAAGAAAATGCATGACATTGTTTGAATAAAATAAAAGAACGTTTAAAAAAAACGAAAACGCTAGTTTATATAATGCATTTAGAAAAAAAAAATATGTTGTTATTTCCAATGTAAAAAAAATAAATAAAGAAATATATTTTAAAATATTATTCTTTAACATTAAAAAATAAAACAAACAATTCTGAAATAAAAAAAAAATACATTTGTCGATTTAATATGAAATTTACAAATTCTTTTATTAAAAAATATTATTTACGAATTAAGAAAAATTAACACAAAATGAAAATTGGATACCCAGTAAATTAAGACTGATCTAACATATTTTAATAATATATATTTGACTTGATTAAATAGTTTTTAAACACTTTACTTGGTTGTTCAGGGAATTTAGCTACAGTTCATATTTCTCAGTCCAGAAATTTAATCAAAATTGTCTATTAAAGAGAAGTAATTTTTCAATTACTAGGTGTATGGGAAATAAAGGGAAGAATTTCTCCCATATATCTCTCAGATGGGTTTAATCTAAATCTTACATGATCCTTATAAGTTTCAACAATATTCCGGTGATAAGATACTAGGCAGTATCAGGGGTTTATTGGAAACATAGTGTCACTGTCCACTGGTCAAACTCTGACACTAATCCAGTTCGGCTGACCCCCGATATTCCGGAAAAGTTTGTAACGCTGTTTCCTTATATTTATAATTGAATTAAGATTTTTGTTTATCTGTAAAGATGAACGTACGTAATCAACACTTATGAAGTTAATTATACAGGATATGGAATCAAATACCACAAGCGATACGAGGGGGATCTTGTAATGGGATTTATTAACAAAATCCACAAACGGGATCAAATTCGGGGTGCCTTTAATCCAATTTCATATTTAAAATCACAACAGGCCAACAGATTTCTGCCGACATAACCCGACACCCTGGGTTGTGTTTTATATAAATAATCGGATGTAACAACCGTGTGTAGTATGTGCTATAAAATGTTCTTATGAGTATGCAATTTTTTGTAATATTTTTAAAGAAAAAAAAATTCCAAGTACTTACATTTTTAAAAACTTAAAAATGATATTAATTATCATTTCTATAATTTTAAATGATTATAAATTGAAGATCTCCAGTTCATGCTTAAATATAAGAGCTTATTTAAGTAAAATACTCATAATTTTTATTATGATTTTAAGTAATCTTAATTATTTACTCTTAGGTACAATTACTAAAACTTCATTGTTTTCTTTTGGGCGGAAATTATTATTTTTTTAAATGCTAACCTTGTAGATTTTTAGAAAAGTTAAAAGGTAAACAATACGTAAAGTAAAAAACCACAACAAGGAAATTTTATAAAAATAAAAATGTAAATGTTAAAGCACATAAAATAGATGTGTTATCCTACGACTTGGGTGGTAAATAAAAATGTTTACCTTCCGGATTTTGTGATAACCATTTCGGTTCCGAAATTATGGAATTGTTCCCAGAGTTCCTTGGATTCTATTTCTACTTTCGGATCATCCTGGGCGTCCGGCTCCGGTTCCATTGTCCTGAGGGGACGGGGATGAAATGGGTGTAGTAAGTCCCCTGGGGTGATCGGGGAACGCCCCACAGACTGCTGAAGCTTTGGGAGGATGGAGGCGGGTATCCCGGGGGGTGCTGGCACAGTCATTCCCGGCAGATAGTGCTGCTGTAACAGTGAAGTATAGTCCGAAGGCCTGGGAAACAGAAAGGGGTTGTAAGCCATCGCTAAATCCGGATTTTGATTTTGATAAATCATTGATACTGTTTCCGTATATATAACAAAATATGCCAAACAGTATTAAAAATGATAATTGGATTTCATAACGAGCGGTCAGGAGTAAAAAACAGTGTCCTCAGATCCCTGCCATCCTGAACCGCTGAAGCCCGAATATTATCATTGATAGCGAATAAAGTTCAGATTATCTAGATGACAACTATACACTGCATCCATCGTGTACTAGAATTGCTCATGTATATAGAAAGATATGCCTGATAACATTTTGCACGCTTCTGATTGGTTGTTTTTTCATCATTATCCATATGGGCGAGAACTAAACGAGATTTGACGGCTGAACTCGTGAAGGGGTCTCGCGCCAGTGTGTCGCCGACTACATAGCCTCTCTCGATAGGCTGTGTAATATGTGTTAATATGCCAACATATCGGCAGTTATTATGTGAAGCCCCGCCTCTCGCGTTACGCTTAGCGTATTTATTCGCCTCATACACTTTCCTTCTTTATATTTATTTAGTCGAGATTTCAACGCGATTTATACTGGGATGTTTGTTTTATAAATAATAAAACAGGTATCGAATGCAGATTAAATATTTAATGACACAACACCGTTTTAAAAACGAATTTTAACTTTCTCGCTTAAGCAAAATCTGTTTGAATTAAAAATTAGCCAGTGCGTCTCTTCAGACGATTAAACATATTTAAACTGCGGGTTATAATCGACGAAGAAACTTCGATAGCCTTGAAATACCAAGTCATATCTCCAAAGAAATTTTTTTTTGATAAATTGATACTAGGGAATTAATAGCAGATATCGTCTTTTCTGCTTGATTTTGGTTTTTGAAACGAAACTTCAATAATCAATGGCTGATAGATAATCGTAGAACTTTGAGAATTTGGTAGGAAAGGCGCCTAGCTGCCATTTCAAGGATTATGGAGGAGCTCCCCCTGTCTGCCCTCCGAAGACCGCGATATTCCCCGTGTAACTCCAGGTCAACTCAACACTCAAACGTCGCAATGTACGCAACAAAAATGTATCTTAAATCTTAGTTTTGTTTAGAATTCTCACCATTGACGATTTTCATTTAATTTTTCTTACCTCAATATTTGTCTTGTAAAATTATTGGGCATAAAGATAAGAAAATATACTTAAAAAGAATATCCTTTTAATAACATAATAAATATAAGAAGAAATCTTTTTAATTCTACTCTCATAACTTGTAAGAATTGTAGATTTCGAGGGAAAAGATATTCTAGTTCAGAATTTAATTATTATCTTTTAAATCAAAACCAAATGAATTAATATCGATGCAGCACATTCAATTCTGGGAATTCCCCACCGATTCCTTCTATGCTATAAGGCTGTGTTTCCCGTTTTATTCCCATATCAGTCCAACCACGCGCATCAAGGATTTTTTCCATATTTGATTTAAAAAGAAAATAAAAATGTTTCATTTTCATTGCTGTACGTGCTAGCATAGTAATTCAGAAAGAAACAAGATTGCATTATATAATAGAATATAATTATTGATAGAATAATTGGATAATATAATGATATAGTATAATAGAAGGATGATATTATGTATTTAATTTATCAGGATAATAAAACGGTGAAAAGGAGTGATTCTCTTAATTCCAAATAACTAGCATTCTTTTATCATTGCATAAAAATTTACAAACTATTCCTATCAGTCTTATAAATCTTGAAAATTACAAGCAACATCTACACAAACACATCAAATCATATTTTAAAAGAGTAAACAATGCTTGTAACATTTCGTTAATTTTGTCATGTTTTTAAAAATATTTCCTTTTAATTTATAAAAAAATTCTAATAAATTGGAAATATACTTTAGTTCGGGAAAACTAAAAATATTGAGAAATTACGCTTTACAAAAATATTAAGAATTCTTGCTGATAAAAATTTAAAGATTTAATTTTAGCAACTGTTAAATTTAAATTAATATTTTAAAAACCTGCTTTTTCATTTAAAAAAATATGAATGATTATAAATCTCTGCCTTTCTCTATCTCTCCATTTTCTGCTTTTTCTTTTTAGATATTCAAAGACAAATTAAATTGTAACGACTTGTAATTGACAGAAGCAGTTTAATTCTAGAGACAATATTTTCATATCAATTTCCAAACTATCCCAAAAGCATAGGGAATACTATCTAACAAAAACATCACAGGAAAAATATCAGGCATGAACAAAAAGTAAGATACACGGTGATGCCAATTAGACCGACCATTTCACTAAATCTGGGGGGACAGAGGTCTGGCCATCCAGATAAAGCGGGCGACACTTGTACTGAGTAAGCTGGCGATTTGGAGCATTTAATTCTAGTCGGATGTAGGTAAACCAATGAAGAAAATAAAAGAACTAATCTTAGGATAACCCACCTGAGTGTGAATGTAATTAATAAATATGTATTGCCGACAATGTAGGTGTGATGTTGTATTGTTTTGGGACTAAGCTGCCCAACAATCGTGGTCTAATTCGATTGTGAAGAATTGAGAAGGCGCCGAGAACAGCCGCCTCACTGGTCAGAGTTTTTATGAATGTTAAATTCCGCGTAAGGACCAGAGAAAACCTGAATGGAAGCGCCATAATTTGACAAATACTTTCTGGAAGCCGCCAGCGTCAACATTGGCGTATACACTTTCTCTTGCACAAAACACTGTTAATAAGCGACTATTTTCCCTTCTCATTCATGTGTACTGGGTGATGAAATATTTGTTCAGAGATAATTCCGGTGACCACGGACTGGCTCCGGTTTGGAGATTACAAACCAAGCAGAATTTTGTTTGTAATGACTGACAGAGCACGGGAATTATATCAGAGAATTATTTAAAGTATTCCTGTGATCCTATGAAGCTACATGTATGCTGATTGATACAGTATATAGTGAACTCTAATGTCTCTTCTAATTTACTCATTGTTTTAAAAATAATAATTTAAAACCATTTAATCCAGCAGGGTTTTTTTTAAATAAATATCTTGGGAACATTATCAAAACAACGTGTTTTTCAAACAGTGATTTGATAATAGTACGAAGGCTAATGTAATATATATATACTGTATATATCCATAAGTTGTTTAAGTAGATTAAGGCTGGGTCATTATCTAAATATAAATGATTTTATTAACAAACTTGATAACAATTTTTTAATATTTAACTTTAAAATAAAATTAAATTTAAAAAAAAATCAAGTTTACCGGTACAAAGTTGTATAAGGGTAAACGGGAATTGATCGAATTGATCTGATAAACAAAAGTTTTAAAGAAATGAAAGTATAACGAAACAAACATAGGGTGCTGTCACAAACAAGGGGGACACGCTGCAGGCAAATTGAGCATCAGGATAAAACGAGATAGTTAAAGAGGAGCATGTATTCTTGAGACATGTTTACAAGGAAAATATCTTTCAAAATTACCTCTGTCTGTGCCCGGTATTTTGTAACATGTGTGTTTTCCCAGCAGATAATACTGATCAACATATTACTATCTTGCCCTGTTTGTAAATGACCTATATCTGTATAATTTTGTCCACTCCATATTGAAAAGGGGATATTGTAAATTATAAATATAAATTTTATGGTTTTCTCTCAAATTAAATGTATTTGTACATGTTAAATGGTATGCACCCCATTGATAGGTGGCCACATATACTAGTATCAAACAATAAAACCCGAGGAGAAAGACATGTTTTAACATTTATATTATTCATTGTATTCGCAGCAACTCAGTTATATAAAAAGTGAGTGTGAGAATTATGTTATTGTTCAACATGTCCCTAACTCACATCTACATTCTGGCAGTCGGGGTTTTATCTCAATATTTTTCAAAGGATAGCAGCTTCTACATTTAGAGGTAAATTCAAACAAACAATTGATGAAATATTAAAATTTTTACTAATGAAAGACATTTATGAAGGAATAGGCTGAGCATAGCCACAGTGTAACTTCAGAACCTTAAAGATCTAACCAATCAATACTAATCGTGGCGTGCGACAGATTTCAGCAAATAAGAAATCAAATGTAGCAAAGATGGAAGAATTTGTACACCATATTTTACCACAAAAAATCCAATTTGTTAAGAATAAAGGAAAATAATTCGATAAATGATTTCTACTCAAAATACCAGTATCAAGCAATTGTTTCATTACCCCGAATACTGCCATGGCGTGCTTTGATACAACTATAAAGTATAGGACCTTCCCTCAACGCTTTCATCTACTGGTGATAAAACTTTATAGCAATATCATTTTTATTTCACACAAAGCGAGTAGGTAAGGAGATTGTTTACATGGTACGGGTGCAAAACCCAACAAAGATAAAGGCATTTGCGTGTTTGATATTTTCACGACAGATTTTGTAGTAAAATTTTACCGATCCGGACTGAATTTTCGTTTGATTTTCCTGCTTCCGGAGAAAGGTTTACTTCGACGCGGTTTTATCTTTTTATTTTATAGTCTGGCACAAAGAAAATGTTTACACAATAATTCAAAATCTTTGATGCGTTGTTTACACCGGTAACAGGTGAGGATTTTCTCCAGAAGAAGTGTAACGGCGCTTGTTGCTCAACATTGACAATAACGTTGCTCGCTTTGGCTTCCTGGGTGTTCTAAGTCGGTAACACTTCTGTTTTTAAGCAACTTCTCAAGAGAGATAAAATATTTGGATACTGTAAAAAAAGAGTGGATCAATGGGATGCACTACAAGACGAGAAAAACAATAATTATGTTCCCCAAACGAAGTTGGGGAACATATTGTTTTTACTCTGTTTCTTATTATTATTATTATTTTTCTTCCTGGGAAAATTTTGTCCGTGAGTGATCTTGTAAACTACACATCCGACTTAGGTAAAACCTTTTTAGGGTCACTAGGGATGTTATGTAGATTTGCCGAATCATTTTGCGCGCACGTGCTTGCAAGAGCGCGCACGTGCAACACGTGAAATGACCAATATAATGGATATTGCTGTAACTTTTCTTTTTCTTGATGAATTTTTTTTAAACTCATAATGTAAGGATACATTAGTAGTATAGACAAGATGGCATGGTCAAAATAGCAAGATCTCACGTGCATGCACGTGCGCTTCGCTCTGATTGGCTGAAACTAAAGTCTCAATATCTTTCTTGTTTCTTGTCATAATCTTTTGAAATTTTGGACATAGTCCTTCATTACGAAGATCTACAGCATGATATATAAAAAAATTCATGAAAGCATGCGCATGCGCG